TATATATATATATATTGTAGCTTGTTTACAATAGAAGTATCAAGTGAAAAAGGAAAATAGCCACATGCTCACACTCTAAAACTCACGCTCATCAATGTTACCAATGTTAAGGCACAGAACTAAGAGATAAGAACTAAGAGATACAAACAACATGTGAAAGAAGCTTTGGGGTTAGTCATTAAGTGTGTGTGGAGAAAAAATGAGAGATTGGACTAAAGGGAATTAATTTTGTTCCTCTCATCCCTAAGAAAATACATCTAGGGAGCAATCTTAAAATATCTGGGGCACTGGAAGGGCCACAGAGATCCACAAAATGATGATCTTGAAAGAGATAACCACCAGCCCACTCAGCACAGCTTTTATTGCATAAGCTAATTTGCAGTGCTTAACCTTTGACGGGGTTTTAAAGAGACAAAACTGAGCAACATGCACACAAGCCATGATTAGACATAGAATCTACACAATAAATACATTAAACACAAAGCTCAGAACAAATTATGGACAGACAGAGGAGTGCAGAGTAGTGGAAGGAGCGGTAGATTGTTCATGACAGTATGCAAAAACTCATTCAAGTTCAAAATCACCCCAATTATTGTCCAGTTTGAGAAAAGAAGCTTTTTGTCCAAATGAGGATTCATAAATTGCCACTTTACAGCTCCCACTAGATGATGCACATGTTGCTGACTCAAGAGAGAGTGATTATGTAAGCATTTACAATCTGTTTAGGATTAGCAAATTTAATAAATTGTTTTTCTTGCAAACATGGCAGTGGTGTGATCTTATCGGCTCTCCTATCCAAAATTTAATTGCTCGATTAATCCTTTGTGAAATTATCCCCGGGGCCACTCCTGTGCAGCAGTATGTGGGATCATAAACAAAACTCTTTCAGAATCAAAAGTGTTTTTTTTGACATTTGATTCCTAAATAGATCTCCAGCCTGCACTCACTGCAGCTAATATCAACTGATACACAATATTTCCTACAATATGAATAATTGTATGAATATTGTAATGACTGTAATGACTCAGTGATATTCTTCGTCTCCCTGCTACCTCTCAGCAGTCATGAAATTTGTTTTCATTTTCATATGATAATGATAATCATCGCTGCTTAGCTGCTAAACTGAGTGGAATTGACTACCCTTAATTCCTAATCCAGAGCTGTGATCATCCCTATGATGGAGTTTTTGAGTCATATTCTTTTTAAAACTCGGATATTGATCTATAGTTTCACTGTTCTTCTCGTAATCCTAATTACAAAACTGATTGACTGTAGAGTGTTAAACACAAACACAGTTTTTGGAACTTTGACCTTGTAAACTAAAAAAAAAAGAAACATTACTTTAAAAACAAATTACATGACGATATACAGGATCTGCACTTTTCATTGCTGGTGTGCTGGGACCAAATTGCTGACTAGAATAGACTCTCCATTAGACTCTGTAATCTGTGGGCGACCCATTATCTTGCATTGCATAATGTTGAATTTAAAGTACTTAGATGTTCTACTGCAATTTTCCTGTCATGAAAGACATTACACATTACATCACCTTACATACTTACCTTACATAAAGACAATGGTGGCTTGACAACTGCACTGAGCACTTAAACCATACTTTTTGGAAGACCCTTTACTTTCCTGTTTATTTAGATGAAAACAATGAAACTATATATTATAAATTAGATTTTTTATTTTATTTTTTGCATCTGTAAACCACCACAGTGGATAT